AGGGGGGAGAAAAAAAGGGCCATAAAAATAATAGACACAGCCAAAACTCAAGTAGGTCTACAAAGAGGATTCCCTAGATTTAAGCTCTGTCAGTGGGGCCACTTTCCCTGAATGAAGAATAACAAAATTTCCACCTGCTACATCATGTTCAGATGTTGCATGCCCAGGGTTTTGTGAAGATTAATTATGTTGATGCCACACAGTAGAGTTTAACAGTTATCCATGGATTTCCAGGAAGAGAGGTTATTTCCTAAGGCATTGTGTTGGGCTCAGCTCAGTCCAGTAAATAAGTTGATGACTCCCTTGACTCCACTCCTTGGGCATTTCTTTAAGTGCAGCCTTGGAGCACACTGTTCTTAAATCAAAGCATAAAAATAACCAAACCTGTATCAAGTGAATTGTAGCAGCTGGAGGAATGGAGGTAATAAACAAAGTTAAAACAGCCTGATAACAATATCCTGTTACCAAAGAAGAATAGCCATTACTCTCTAATGGTGAAATACAAAACCTTTCTTGAGAGAAGGCATTGATTTTTCAAGAAAGGAAGGGGAGAGCAACCCAGAGATGTAATGCAGCATGTGTGGGCACCAAGAGGGTAAAACAATGACAACACTGATCAAGTATCTCATCTCCAAAAGCTCAGGCTGCCTGACCTTTAGCAGTGCTCAGGATTGTGTGTTGAGGATGTCATTAAAGAAGGCAGGCAGTGTGTGGAAGTCATTGGAGTGGGTTTGGAGAGTGAGATTCCAGACCAGCTACTCAATGGACTTGGAAAAGCCACATGCCAGAAATAAACCCAACACAAGAAATTAGTTTTGTATAATAGCTCTTTTACCCCGTGTTCTTGTTGGTAACCTGGTTTCCATGGCATGCCCAGCGCAAATCCCAGTCCTTGGTGTGCTGGAGGACTGAGGGTGGGATAGGAGCATCTTAAAGGCAAATTTAGGAAAAGGCAAATGACCGGAACAGTCCTTGGGAGTTGGGAGTGTGGATTTTATGTGGTCACTGTCAGCTCTGTGTGAGAGGGAGCGAACTGCTGGTGTTCAGCCCAAGGTTTAGTGCTCCAAAGCCAGGGGTGGTGACACGAGCACATCTCTCACAGCTGGGTAAGCTCTGGGTGGCATTTGAAAGTCACTCTATAGAGCAGAATAATGAGTGTGAAGAATTGTAGGGTGGCTTGAAGACTGACGTTAATTACCTACTAATTTTCTAGCTGTGATCCATGAAACACTTGTTGCTGATCCCCAGACAGATGGCTAGTCACATAGGATGGGCTTCTCCTCTTCATTTCCATCTGCTATATTTCATTAAGACAGCTAAAAATAAAAATATCCCTAATGTTATTTTTCCATGCAAGTTACTGCTACAGTGACTTGATGCGACTGTGAATAGAAGAGTTTCCAAGAGACAAGATTCTTTTAATTAATTTGTGATCTGTGGCATGAAAAACAACTGCAAATCCCTACATGAGATTCATCATGAGCAGTACACTTACTTCCAAGTGCTATTTATCTAGAAGAGTCAGTTCAAAGCAATTTTTTTTTCTGGTGTAAGAAGAGAAAAGAGGCTGCTGTCTCTTCTGAGCAGAAGAAATTGCTATTTTTAGGCTCTAACCAGTTGTAGATGGTGCCTACGAAATGGAGATGTAATCAAGGAGATCCTTTGGGCATGAAATCTTCTTTCCCTCTGTGTAGTAGGAATATCTCCAGAAACAGCTTTTCTGCACAGCTCTGAGCCTCTTGTCAGCCAGCACAGTGCCCAAAAGTCCCCTTAGGGGGAATGCATTTTTGGGAGGTTGGTTGGTTCTGTCTTTCACAGATTTTTTGGCTGTAGCTGAAGTGTCTTTGTGAGTGGAGAAGCTGGGTTCTTGCACACACAGCTCTAACAAATTCAGAGTGTAATTCCTGATGTATTGAAGTGTTTTCTGGGGAAGTTATGATCCACTCCACCCATATTGCAATTTACTTGTTTTCCAAAAGAGACAAAAACCTGAACCATTTCTTTCTAGTCCTTCCATGCCTTTTGCACAAATTCTTTCAGAAGGACAGAAGCTCTCCCCCATTACATGATGAAGTTTCAGTATGTTTTAGAACAAGGAACTGCTAGGTGGCCCAAAAGCCCCAAAGAAAGCACAGAGAGAAGAGGCAGTCCAGCAGTATTATCTTGGTGTATTGAGGAGCTCCAGGGACTCAGCTAACACTTGGTCTCCAGAACTTTGGATGAAATCTGGGGCTGGTGTCTTAGATCTCAGTTATTTTTAGCCTCAACTACACAAGCCATTGCCCTAGACCTCCTGAATGGTTACCACAGATACTTATCTGGGATGAAGATCTCCATAGCTTTACTCTTTCAGAGTTTTCAGGGTCTGAAGCCAGCGTGCTATTTTGGACCCCACAACCCAAATCACCACTCCTGCTGTGTCTCAGTGACACTGCCCACAGCACATAACCTTTGATCTCACCCCTTTTTCGTTAGTTGCTTCAACTTGGAAAAGCAAGCAATTTCCTCATCCTCCTGGCAACATTCCCACGAGGAATTCCTCCTCCCAAGCCATAGCCACACAGCCAGTCACAACAATCCTTCCTCCTCTTGCATCAGGCTGTTTCCCCATTTTCTCTGGCTCTTGCCACTCACCCCAGCCCATCAGCCCAGGAGAACCTTTGGCTCCATTTGTGTGCCTGTTCTTTCTCCTCCAAGAGCAGCTATTTGAGTTCCACCCTAAAAGCACACTGACTTAGGCCCCAGTTTAGCAAAGAATTTTATCACACGCTCGAGTGTAGTTGACTTAGACCTTCATTCTGTTTTTAGCTTATCAGAGCAGGGGTGGGTAGAGCCCTTGTCCTCTTACGCATGCCTGGGTCCTGGGAGCTCAGCTGTGGATGAGCAAAGAGCAACGTGCCTGAAGCTGAGCAGGAGCTCAGATAAGGACTGTTGGCCTCCATCCAGCCCTGGTGCCATGTCTTTTAAGGCCTAATTATCTCTACACCAGCTGCAGATGTGTCAGCCCCACGGTGGTGACACACCGCAGGTTACTGGGTGCTTCCACCCCAGCTCACCACCTCTGCATGGTCATTAAACTCTGTAGTCTGTGTCTGCCTCAAACTTAGTCCTGGATGTTGGGAATCCTGAGTAAGGACTTCAGGGTTAATACTTAGTAACTTCAGAGCAGAGAATGCAGCTAAAGTAGGCAAAACCCAGTGACTGCCTCCAGTTCAGACACAAAATAATCCAGTAGTACTATAGCCAGTATTTTATTCTGCTTAAAGCACAGTGAAGCTGGACACAGGAGCACCTCATTTTCCTGTAGGGCCTCATCAGAACAGAATGAGGCTCAATGACAATGGCTAAAGAAACAGAAATGCACCATGGATATCACTGAGCCACTCAGGACATTTACCTCAAAGTCTGGCATATTTAATTCAGCGCATATAAAAAATTCCAGTGGTGAAGGGTGGAGAAAATGGAACGCTGAATGAAGACTTTTGTTTTCCTGAACACAGCTGAAATGAAGAAGGTGGATGGTGACGATCAGATTTCTCCTATAGGTCAGAAGTTCAGTGTATAATCAGATTTCATGTCATGGGGCTGCTCTCTTCCTAATTGCATCCAGCCAGGACTCTGCACATCACTGAGCTTTTACTCTGGGCTCCCTCCATAAAATATATACTGTAGTCAGAGTAGTTAGTAAATAATTTTAAAAGTATTTTTAAGGGTGAATCATTACCTTTCAATTCTACACCACAGCAGCAAATGAAATTAGTTGCTGGCTTGCATTCATATAAAATATAAAAACAAGTACTTAACTGTATTGTTGCTACAGCAAGATTTTTTGTACAAATTTGCTACAAATATTAAGCTATAAGCCTCTGGTAGCTGTGATCTTGGATTCAAAGGTATCTGGGACCTTTCAGGGACAGAGGAACCAAAACTCTGTGAAATGTGGCCTGAGGGCCCATAGCCTGACCCGGGTGGAGGGTGGATGAAGGAAGGGAGCTGACCTGGGTTTGTTCAGAAGGTGACAGGGGGATCTCAGCCAGCAGCACTCCTCACACAGGTCCTGAGTGATCCCACTTCATAACTGCATGAATTATTTATGCATCCTGGGGAGAGAAGCTATAGCCACATCTGAAGCTGAAAAATAAACAAAAAACTAACCCCAAGAAGTCATAATAGCTTATCACTTAGCTGATGACTGACTTTTTGAGTAATTCAAGTTTAACAGGGACATCCATGGTAGACTAGCATGACCTCCTATGGGCATCTGTTCATCTGCAGAATAAAATGAGACCAAAGGAGCAAGTGAGCTCTCTGGCTGGCCAAATTACAATATTAAATTATGACAGAGGAACACAAGCTCTGAAATACAATGATATTGTGGGGCAGTGGCTGAGAATCAAGCTGGGGATCTCACCTTCATCCAGCAGCTAATGAAAGTTAAACTACCAGTCCTAACCCAACTTTACATGGTGTGTGTCTCCTGCAGAGCACCTCCCAGCACACCTCTGCTTTGAGGAACCCCTGTCTCATGTGGTAATTAACTCTCAAGGAGGTTTTACCCTTCCTACACCCAGGACAGACCATTTGTGACCTGCAGTGCGTTCTCACCTTACTAATTTATCTCCCAAACATTTTCCTACTGAAAAAAAGGCTCTCAAAGGTTTCAGCACATTCTGGTTCCCATATGAGGAAGGACAAGGCTTTTGCTGGTGCTGCAGGACAGCTTTGAGATGCAGCTTGGGAGAGCAGGGGCAGCCAAGAGGAGCAGAGCTGCACAGAAGACACGTCTGTGTTCCTTGGATGCTACGAATTTCTCTGAAAGCCAAGAAACCTGAAACTGCAGTGGCAACTCAGATTTCCTCCTGCAATGGAGTCGAGGCAGGCTAATTTTAGCCACCATGCACTATGCAAACAATCACACTGGAGCTGAGTTTATTTTGTAAGTGCTGACTGCCAAATTTGCTGCAGGGCATAGACTTTTCATATGGGTCTTAAAGTGGTTTGAAACTAGCTCTTCAGTCGGTGGTGCTGCATTTCAGATGGAGGGGGCGGCTCAAAGGCATCCTGTGAGGAAAGCTAATTTCCAACAGCAAAGGTCTAGGTGACTAGTTTAGATGATATACTGATTTTTTAGCTGTTTGGGGGGGGGGGGGGGGTTCTGAATTTATTTTCTATTCTGTATATAATTTTTCTTAATTCCTCTCATGAACTCACACCACGGGCCGGCAAGAGATGCTGGGGGTGCTGGTATCTGCACTACACCCAGGGTCTGCAGATAAAGGAAGCAGATCACTCCTGGGTTTGAGATTTATTCTCTAAATATTTGGCATATTCACAGAGTTCACTTATAAGTGGGATTGATCTGACTTCCTAGGAAAGAAGTAGTTCTTTAAAACATTGCTATTAGACTGTGATCATGGCACTCATTTGAAAGGCAAAGGCAGACATGGGGAACATAAAGAAGCAGCAAGGCAGGGTACCCTTCTAAGAAGCCCAGGTTTCCCAAGGGACAGTAAATTGTTACATTTCTTTTCAATATTAAAAAGATTTAGCATGCAGACTTTCATCTGATAACTTTCATAATGTCTCTATCACAAGTGATGCTATGGCTGAATTGTTCTTTGTGATTAAATTAAACAATTCTCCATTATTTCTTATCAACTGATCATGGAGACCTTCAGGAATTTTCTGTTCTTAGCTTTGAAATAACCACTTCCAGGTTTAAGGTCTTACCATAACCTTCAAGGCATTTATGTAACCAAATGGGTGTGCAAGGACCTGAGTGCAGAAAGACACTTGGAATCCTGAACTCAAAATTACGTGGGAGAGTAAAAGCAGGAGCTTGTTTTCAACTGTGAAACTATGAAACTTCTGTTTTCTGCAGCTGATCTTCAATCTAAGTGCTTTGGATGTAGGGCTCAAGTCCTAGTGAGTGGTCCAAGGAGAATTTTTCCTTGGAATTTGCTCTGAATTTAGGCTGGACTAAAAGGAAAAAAATGTGCATGGAAAAACCTAATTTAGATACAGAAGTTGTATCCAATTGCATTTAGGACATGGGGGGCTACACTGAATTCCTCTGAATGCAAGGAGCTGCAGAATTGTGCATTTATTTCCTTTTAGGTGCTGATTTTGTAGGAGTCCAGCAATGCTCAAAGACACAACCAAGATTAAAATAAGTAACTGCAGGACTGTGTATACAACACATAGCAGCTCCCCAGGAAGGGTGGCCTTGAGGAAAAATATCTTTTCCATCATAAAATCCTGGAACAATCCAATTTCTTCGGGAGGGCTCAAGGAGCTGGTGGATGCTGGATGTCAGTGGCTCTGTACAGAGCCTGGGCAGCCACCACAGGAGGCTGAAGGCCGTGCAGAAGGAAATTATTCACCTGCCTATTTCACATTTTCCCAAAAATGTATCTTCCATGGTAGTGGAGCCAAGTCCCAGATCAAAGACCAGGGAGAAATAAAGAGCCTGTGAGGAGATGAATGTGTGTCTGTGCTGCTGTTGCTCCATGGGGATGAGCAGACCTGCTTCCCTCCCACCATGGCTTCGCTCTATTTTCGTACATTTTCTGTGTCATTTTGTTACCCCTCAGCTTCATATTAAATCTGACCTTTCTGCTACACTTGACTGGGGAAAGGTAATCACCTGCTTTACTTTCTTCAGGGTTACACATCACTGTGTGTGACAGGTAGATAATTTTACCAGGAAAATATGGTTGCACGTGAGACTAGGCAGGAAAAAATATCTGGGAGTAGGTCAGGATCTACTTGAAGATCTGCCAGACCTGCCTGAGTGCAAATACATTTTTCAAGCTGGATGTTTAACTCCCACTGCTTCCTGTGAAAACTCAGCAATTGTAGAAAATCCTCTTTTGCTTTGAACAGTGGAGAGAGACTCCAGTCCCCCCTGAGCGAGCATGGGAGAAGAGGGCTCTGTGATTGATGGTGTTGCAAAGAGTTGGGAAGTTAGGAAGGAAGAAAAGGAATATTTTAGGTCTCGTGCAGTGGCTAGAGATAGATCTAAATCCATCATTGTGCAGCTCATGGTCTGGAACTGAGGCTGTGACTTGCACAAAATAAACATCACCCTAAAGTACCTAAACACCTAAGTGCATCCTTGAGCATCAGGGGAATATTCCCTGGGGATAACAATAACCTCATGCTAACAGCTCTGTTAGAGAATTCTCATACAATTTCAGAGATCTCTTCTAATTCATGCAACTATGAAATATATTCATCCAGTGTACATTTGATTTGTTGTATACTGAAGATGTTACTTGCTGAAACACAGTGACAATTCTGAAATGATGGCAAAGCTAATTCAGCAGGAAAGGCGAAGGGACACGGCGTGGCTGCTGTTTGTGTCAAGCAATGCACATCTTTGTAAAGCTGTGTCCATTACACACATCTAGGAGCAGAGTAGATCTGCTGACCTGATCTGCACTGGGATCCAAGCTGCTACAGCTGCTTATTCTTACTGATCTTTATAGTATCTTGATCTAGTGCTATCAGAGTGTCTGGATATTCGGGTTATCACCTCTAACAAGCGGCAGATGGGACAGGGTCAACTGCAGCAAATGCAAGAGCAGGGCTTGCACAAAGGGAGGTTTGAAAGCCCTTAACTAAGGTGAAGAAAATACCTTGATGTCACAGCTTGTTCCACTGTCTTTTCTCATGTAGAAGCTCTACTTAATGCAGAAATAATTCTGCAAGCCAAGTCGATACAGAAGCATCATCCAACAAAAACAAAGGCAGTTTAGCTAAGTTGGTTTGAAAATACTCATTAATTAGGCTGAGGTAAATTTACGTATATGTGGGCTTGTTAACACTCTTCCTACCTAAATGGGACTAATTATTTCTGTAATTATTATGTAATTGTGTAGCCTTGGGATCATTGATTACAGATGCACTCCTTGTCTCACTGTTTTACCTGAATCCAAGCAGAAGAGAGCGATGCTCCTCTGGGATGTGCTGCTACTCCTTTTGGCTGCAGCCTTGACCTTATAAAAGAGGAACAGAAAACAGTGAGTAAGCTAAGCTATTTATAGCTGAACTAATTTTCTCTTCACTCAATTAATGGCAATGGAAGAAGCTTTCAATACCTTTTAACAGTGTTTGTTGGCTGCAATACAAACCTCTCCTAGGGTGACGTTATGATGCTTGTATCCCCAGTTGTCTGTTCTGTTTATGCTGAATATTATGTCCTGTGCCTTCAAGACTGGCTCTGAAAAGCAAAGTTTTGGTTTTGTTATCAGCCTGCTCACTCCCCCACGGATGGTGGGACACAGAGAGGGGGCAGTACTTAGGGCTGTTTTGGCTTTTTGCTCTTGATTTTTTCTCTTGCTTTTGCTTTGCTCTTGCTCCAGCTTTGCTCTTGCTTTTGCTTCTGCTTTTTAGTTAGTTTAGCTAGGCAGTCTGAATTTTCCCTGGACTGCTTTTCTTTCCCTCTCTTGCAACCACTCAAGCCTGCTCTGGACTGGGAGCTGGGAAGAGTTTGCACCTTGTGGCAGCTGGTCCAGCGCCGGAGGGACCGAGAACAGAGCGACCTCCCCCAGGAGAGACTTTCTGAATTTGTCATCATTTTCAAAGCGCTGAAAGAGTGTTGTCATCCGGTTTTGTTAATTTTGTGTGCTGGGGGGTGTTTTCCCTGTTAAATAAACAGGTTTTTTCCACTTCTCTCTGAGGAATCCTTCCCGAACCGGTAGAGGGGAGAGGGGCCGTGTGGGTTTGCTTTCTGGAGGGGCCCCCTTTGGAGGTTTGCTTCCAAATTTGCCCTAAACCAGGACAAAACCTTTTCTGAATGTCTTAAGATGCAGGACTTTGAAACACAGGAGCAGGGAGCACGAGGTGTGTTGTGTTTCTGGCTGACATGACTAGCACTGAGGGGCTGAAAGGGAGGTGCTGCTGTCAAAGAAAAAACCCAGTTTGGAGGGAAGGCGGCAGACAGCAAATCTGTGCAAACCCCTGTGTAAAAATCTACAGGTAAAAGCTCAAATGGCTTCTCATAAGGTGCTTGGTGGACACCATGGAGTTTGAAATACAAAACTTTGCTATTCCCAAATGGGGAAACTGAGGCAGAGTGCTTGACTTCGCAAAAGTTGCAAAGCAAGTTAATGGCCAGGGAGTGACAATCTCAGCCCATGGTCTCTGAATCCATTCATAGAAGATGGACTCCTCTTCCTGCCACTGCGCTCTTCCCGTGCACAAATTCTGTAAGGGGTGAACTGCTGGGCTGTAAATAAACTGGGAAAGGTGGAGGGGACAGAGGGGGGTGTCTTGGCTGAATTGTTTTCTTGCCCGTCACTGAAGTTTTCAGCAATAAAAACCTCCCCCTGAGCACTGTGATGTGTTTTCTCGGTCTCTGAGGAAGTTGTTAATAAATGCTGTTGCTGCTGTCTGTTTTTTGAGCTGGACAAGATAGACTTTTTCTTGTTTTAAGTTTTTGAATTAAAAAAATACATAGAGTGAGTGAGAGTTCATTATATTTAACCAAGACAGAATTTGAAATCCTAAGTTTTTGTGAGTTATTTCTGGTAGAAAAGCACTGTTGAAGCTCAGGTCCTCTGTGGGAAATGGAAAACAGAAACTTCAACAGACACAGGAGGGTTGAAATTACAGCCTTGGAAGAAGCTTGGATTGATATAAAAATGCAATACACAGACATTAAGCAGAAAAATAATAAACTTATATTTCTACAGATGTAAGTAAGAATATGCCTTAAGTAAGTAAGAAATGGTCTTAGATGAGATGGTGAAGGGTTTACAATGTAGTAATGTAATTGTACAGATGAAGCTAAAAGTTTAGAAGTTATAACAGAAGCATACAGGTGTACACACCACAGCAGCCCGTTAGATAAAAGCATCTGCAGTGCAGCAAAATTAAGTAAAGGGGATAGGCTAGAAAAGCAAAATAAATTTTTGGCAACTCTCTAGCAGAAAAATAATAAACTTATATTTCTACAGTTGTAAGTAAGAATATGCCTTAAGTAAGTAAGAAGTTATATTAGATGAGATGGTGAAGGGTTTATAATGTAGTAATGTAATTGTACAGATGAAGCTAAAAGTTTAGAAGTTATAACAGAAGCATACAGGTGTACACACCACAGCAGCCCGTTAGATAAAAGCATCTGCAGTGCAGCAAAATTAAGTAAAGGGGATAGGCTAGAAAAGCAAAATAAATTTTTGGCAACTCTCTATTGGATTAGAAAGTTATATATTGCCTTGTAATGAAGAACTTGTGACTCCTTTGAGCTATGGCCGACTGCTTGCTCTCATAGATCTCACGGCCTCTGAGACTGATGTTTATCTGAGCAATAAATCGTTCTTAACCCGATGACAGTCCCATCCCTTCATTAAAAGCAGTGATAATAATAGTCCTCCCCCCCTCCAAGGTTTATAAAATAGCTTTTCTTCCTTGCTCTTCTCCACACTCTGGGTGTTCCACAGCCTGTCCCTCTCCATGACCACAAAACTTCTGTCAGAGGATTTGCTGTGTACTCCAAGGCTTGCTTCACTGTGGCAAGAGAGAAGGAAAAATATCCACTCTCTCCTCCTTTTACAGCTTTGGTTGGGTCCCTGAAATCTCTGCACTTCTCAGATGGCTTTTGGTGACCTTTAAGGCTCTCAGAAAGCAGGTGCTGTTTGTGAAGCCTTTCTGTGACTGTCGCTTTGTTTCCCTTTGATTCAACTTTTTAAACTCCCATGTCGGGGGGTTGAGGCACAGTGCAATACTCACGAGAGGCTGATTTATGCAGACACAAGGATTGTGCAGCAAGATTACAGGCTACAGTGTGTTACATGCAGTTTTAATTTCTTTTTATGACCAAAGTATACAGCCAGAATTCCTCAAATACGGAATTTATGAGAGCCTCATTCATGCAGGCTTTGAAGGGCCTCTGCCTCTGTGCCCTGCTCGTGGGGAGAGGTGGGGAGATGGGGTGAGCAGTCTGTGCAGCCTCTGCCAGTGAACAAAACTACCTAAAAACACACCCAGAGCAGTCAGCTGGGCACTGAAGTGGCCTCTGCACGGTGAGCCCAGGCACTTCTGAAGGATCTGTGCAGTCCCAGCCTTTCTCTGAGCTACAGAAATGTGAATTCTGTGAAATATTTGAGTCAAAAATCTTCCAAGAAGATTTTTGAACGGAAGGCATCTTCAGTGCAGTGCAGTGCCAGCAGCTGACTTCAGGGCTTTTAAAATCTATGACAATGCAAACCAAGTAGCAGAAGGTATCTGTGCTAAGTGCAGACATTTGATCCTCTCAGCCTCCTGTCCTGTGCACCTGTAGACACTGTTTGCTCCTCTTCTGGCTTAATTTTGCACTTTGTATCTTACCTGAAAGCCTTTTCTTCTGAGAAGAAGCCTCTCTGCTCACACAAGGAGCAGTGTTTGTGTGTGTCCAGTAGCTCGCCAGGCATGGTTACTCACATGGAATTTGCATTGGAGATTATCAAACAGCTTGGCACAAAAATTCAAGATATTAAATGCAATAACATGGCCTGGGAACAGAAGGCGGATGTCTGATGTGGTGAATTACCCAGCCCTCCCTTGCTTGGAGTGTTACACATCACATTACATGTACTTGCATGCCACAGGGCTATTTTGGGGAGAGATGATTCTTCGGAAAGTCACAAAAAATTCTGTAGTGGAACTGGAATCCTTGGTGTGTTCAGAAACCTGTCAGCAGGTTCCTGATGGGAGATGCCCCTGGCAGCCTGTGACTGTCTCCAGCTCCAGAGTCCCTGGGGGAAGATAAAGGCGACCTGTTCCAGCCTTCATAAGCACAGTGGAGTCATTTCCAAGTCTGGTGTCTCACAACCAGGCTCTTTCTTTTCGTGGTGCTCCAGGATGGTCAGTGGGTGGTGTTGGCAGCGAGCCCCTGATCCTCTTCTTATGGATGTTGCAACCACCTCTGAGCCCAGCCTGGACAAGTGGAAAAAGGCTTACCCACCTTCAGCTTCTATTTCTGCAGAAGGGGAGCTTTTCTTTCCATCTTCCCTGTCTGCCATGCCATCCAGGAAAACAAAAAGGCACTGCTAACATCTGCTCTTTTCTCCTCCTACGCTCAGGCTCTTTCTCGGCTCCCTATTAAACCCCTTCCCACGCGGCAGCGTAGGCAGCTCCTTCGTGTACATCTTGGAGTACACATTTTTTTTCCCCCCGTCCCTTGGGAGCAACATGTGCAAGAAGTGACTGGTGAGGGTTTATTTTTGTTCTTTGCTAAGACTTTTTGCTTAGTGGGCTCCTCATTCTCCAAGTGCAGCTCCTCCCCCAGCTCCTGTACTCCGTGGGGCCGACGTGGATGCTCCTGGAGACACTGTGTGGGGGTGGGAAGGGATGCAGCAATGGATGGAGAACATTCCCATTGCTAAGCACTGCTCAGGTGCATTTACTTCTTCCTTAAGTTCCACCAAAAAGGGTTACTAAGGGAACAAGGAGACAAATTTCTGGGGAAAACACAGACATTCCTAATGAGCAACAAGCCCTACACACATCTTTCTTCTCAGATGTTTGGGGTCTGTTCTTTGGTCTCCTGTAATTGAAAAGTGTCTGATTCTTGAACCTGCCTTCACTCTTTTGTCCCCGCCCTGTTCCTGGGGCAGTTGCAGGGTGCTGAGCCTCCACAATGAAACATAAGCTCTGAGTCACTTCTGCTTCTGGCAAGGGGAATGGGAGAATCCATCTGGGCTCGTTCCATCCTGGAAAACTTGCCATATTTTGCAATTTGCACTTGCTTTTGTTTTCTTTCTTTTTCTTTTTTTTTTTTTTTTTTCTTTTTCTCCTCCAATCAGAGCAGCTGGCTTCTCCTGAAGCTGACATGGCTTTTTGTTGCAACAGGAAAAAACCCCACCAAAATAAATTTTGCTGGAAAGTTTAATCCAAGAGATTCAAAGCTGAACAAAGGTGCTGCTGTGCAGGGAGCTCTGCAGAAGATGCTCAGCTGTTTCCCACAGCCCCATTCAAGCCCCAGTTGTTGTCAATTATCAAGTTATATGTACCTTGCATTGTTCCTGAAATTTTGAGTAAAAAGTTCTGTTGAAAAAAATTGTCTGAAGGGTACAAACTAAAGGCAGAGGCACTGGAAGAGGTTGGACTCACTGTTCTGGTCTGCTCCTGCACAGCTCAGGGGATGTGAGGCCAGGTTTGTGCTGCTGGGCCTTGGACTGTGCAGGCAGGACCGGAGAGCAGAAATTAGCAACTCCCCCAAGACTTGCCAGTTAAAGGAAACGAGTGATGTACTGTAGCAGAAACAGCAATTATCCTTGGAAATGAAACAAGATTAATTGCATCACAAACTGCAATCTCAAGAGCACCTACTTCATAACATCAGAACAGAAAGAGTTTTAGACCTAGTATTACTCTAGAAGGGGGAGAATACATTTTTCAAGTCAGGTAATCAGATCCAAACAGTGAAAACAATTCAGAAAATGCTGTAATAGGAACATGAATAGGAACAACATCATCAAAAAGGAACATTTCAAAAGGATTTATAATCCCCAAATGAAGTTCTCCAGTACAGAAACAAAGAAGAAGAATTATTTGTTTTAAAATTTTAATTTTGTTTCCTGCATAGTGTGTTTAGTCTGCGGGGGGTGTGACACAATTGGGTATTTTCCCACCATTCAGAA